TATCCACATTCTTCAAAAATTAAAAAAAATTCTCATAAATATAAAAGTCTGCAAAATATATATTTTGTAAACAAAATTTTGATGATATCCATACAGTTTATCATTTCTAGCTGTCACAAAGATTTTTTTCACAATTTTTATTTCCAAAGTGTTCTATTTAAAATGCTCTCCTTGCAAGTTAATAAATAACCAATTCATAACGCCAGATAGTTAAGTGGTACTACCGCTTTTTTTTTTGGTATCGTTGACCACGCTTTTAGGTGATTTTTTTCCCCTTTAAAAAAAAAAACCATGATCACAAATTATATTGGGTAAAAAAGCCATTTTAGAGATCAGGTTTACCACATGTACAGCTTTAGTTTAAGAAAAAAAAAAGTTAAAATAAAGGGAAAAAAAATTGCATTTAATTCAGTCATACAGTCTTGGTGCACATCATTGACGCCCACACAGTCACAGTCTAAGGCACAGCTTGACACCCCTTTACCACAGTGTAGCATTTCCAAATCTTGTTTTTTTTTTCCATACATCAATCATCTTATTTTGTTTGATCGTCCACGAGAATAATGGGCGGTGTACAAAACCGCACTGAAATAATAGATGACTCCCCATTTTCAATTTCTGGAGGCCATACTGTATTTAAAAAAACAGATTAATCATTGCAATTATTAATAGGCAATTCCCAGTGAACTCGAGTATTTCCTCAAACAATGGCCAAGGGTGTTAATTTACTTTAGGGTTTCAAAAGAAATGGATCAATGGAGTCCTGTTTTCTTTCACGGAATGTGAGGGGGTGCCAAGTCAACGGAACAAACTGTTAGGTACTTTTCAGAGCCCTAACAGAGGCAGATCCTTTTACCCTGCCCGAATCAGCAAACATTTTCCCACCTTTTTTTTCCCTATGTTGGTGCAGTTCTTACAGAAGAGTGACAGAACAAAAAGTCCTAGAATAGGAGGGCATGAAGAAGACCCAGCAATTTTCTTTTTTTTTTTTCAGCATTTTGAGGTAGTCGCAGAGCTGTAACAGGCGAGACACGCACGAATGTGTAAAAACCCCTTTTACACTGCCTGAGACAGCCAACTTTCTTCTGCCCGTTTTCTTTTTTTCTCCCCCATTTGAAATTCAGTATGAACAGAATTGGCCAGGGGGTCCAGAACCAGACAATTTTGCGCCAATGGATGTAGGATCAGATCGATAATCGCTAAGGTGGGATGGAACCTGTATTCAAAGTATTTCTACGGTTTTATGGAACCAGTCAAAATCTTTGATCGATTTCTTTGTTCAGTATGACCGTAACTGACATGGACTAAGATAAACTGGCAATTTTGCGGCTTTGGAGGTAGTGACACAGGTGTGTTACCGTATGTCTGTAAAGCCCTAGTTATGCTGCCTGTAAAAGATGGATTTTTTTCATCTCCATTTCTTTGCTCAGTATGAAGGTAACCGGCATGGAATGAGGAAGCGGAAGTCAATCTGGCAATTTTCCGCTTTTGGAGGTAGTAGAGCCATAGTGAGGGGAGAAGCTGTTCCTGTGTTACAAGCGCCTTTAACACCGCATGTAAAAGCCAGCTCTTGTCCTTTTTCATGTTTCGGGTGGGTACAAAACAAAGTCTGGGTCTGGAATATTCCACCATCAGAGGTAGTATGAGATTCCTAAGGGCAGCTGAGATCGCCATTAAAATCAGTCCCTTTTTTTTCGGCTTGTTTCTGTTTCTTCTCAGTATGAATGGAATCAACCACGAGGGGGGTCAAAGTCAACCGAGCAATTTTCCACCTTCGGAGGTAGTTTCAGCCATTAACAATCCATGTTAAAAGCTTCAATTTGTCCGCCTTTGTCTGTGTTGCTGTTCTGTAAAAACGGCACCAACATCGAATGCAAAGGGGTGACGACGTTGGCCTGAAAATATTCTTCAGAGATGGCGCCTGTGTATTTTTCCATCTCTTTGTTTGGTCTGGAACTTGGAACAGAGGGGGTGGGGGGTCTATCCAGTAGAAAGCCATAAGCGAGGCAGAAAGTCAACTGCCTACAAGAGAAAACATCACGCCAGATTCTGGCACTGATATCATTACATTTGCGGGTTGCTGTATTGTTGGGGGGGGGGGGGCAATCGGGGCAATATTCCACCTTTGCTGGGTTCTGCGGAAAAAGGAAGATAAATACTGGTTCTTCTGCTGTGTGACCGTTTTGTGGGGTGTGAAAGAGGCTATTGACACAATGGCAGGAGCACAGTGGCCAAGTTATTGTTGGTGCGCAGCAGTTAAAATCGTTTTTTTGGGGATTTTTTTTTTTTTTTAAGGGGCATGTGCACCCGGTGACTGAGTTAACTTAGAGGGGAGGCCATTATTTGAGGAAATATTCAGCCGCATGTCAAATTACGCTATGGCAGAAAAGGTCATTCATTTCAGTAGTTCAAGAGATAAAGGGAAGCTCATATAGATTAAATAAACCCATCGATAATGTGATATTTTTCAGAATGCCATCTCATATTTCCAGCAACAAAAATAATTTCAATTGTTTATTTCAATATTCTAATTGCATGAAATATTGATTTTTTTTGTTAGCTGTAAGCTATATGAAAGCTGAATGGCATTCTAATCACGAATTTCACATTTTCAATTGAATTACAGTTTTGAAATAACTTTTTCCAAAATATTCAAATTTATTAAATGCACCTTTATGTGTTAAAGGAGAAGCACCTCGCTCAAATTTTATCAGGTGTGGGGGGAAAAAGGCTGACGTTTACCCCTATTGGAAGACCGTTCAGGAGCATTTACTAAAAGCAGAGCTAACGTTTACATTCATCCGAGCCTCTCAGCCATTCTAGTCTATGCTAGCCCTGTTGTGACATGTAAATGAGAAAAGAAGAGAAAAACTAAAAGAAGACACTGTAAACATTTACATTACTACCAATAGTGCAATTACAACCCTGTACTGCCTGTGCAGGACCATCTTAAAGCTCGTCTCCTAATAACCTTTCAAATGGCACCTCTTTTTGGAATAAACACAAACATATTTGTGGGATTACAATTATTTTTGCATCGGGGGGAAATATAGGTGTTGTTTTTCAAACACTTATTCCTCTGTTAATTCTTTTTTTGCGCGGGGGGGGGGGAATAAATGATAATTTCACACAAAACGGGGACATGAAGTACAACAGTCGAGAGTTAGACAGCTTGGAAATAGAAAACTGCACGCGTAAGACAAATAATAGTGCTTAATTTTTGATATTGCCCTCCTTTAAAAAAAAAAAAAAAACATTTTCATTCCAGCGGGCCAGCATTTTCAGTCTGGGATTCAGTCACATCTTTCTGAAAATGATTGAAGTCTTTTAGAGTGCAAATGCGCTAAGCTAGTTGCGTCATCGATAATCAACCCAGCCTTAGCCACACAATAGGATGGAAGGAGGACCATGAGGATGTGAAGGTAAAACAGGGCTTTGCTCGGAAAATCGTCTCACAACCCGTCGGGGCGGGTCAGCGGCACGCGCCGTTGATTGTGTCAAACACGAGCCACATTCGGGTCACACCCAAGTGACAACACAGAACGCGCCGAGGTCAGAGCTTGTAAGAAAATACAATTAAAAATTATCCCGAAAGACTCATTCTTATTGACGACACTTGCAGTTCTCGAGAGATCGGTTGTTAATCATCCATCCTTAGTACTCGTGCATGCAATTGACATTTAGTGCATGGTCTTTTTACCCCAAGACAAGATTATTGTACTACAACAAGCATTTTTGCGGTGCTTTCTTTTTTTTTCATTGCGTTGTCTAGCATTTATACTGTATGTATTCACTGTGTGTGTGTGTGTGTGTGTGTGTGTGTGTGTGTGTGTGTGTGTGTGTGTGTGTGTGTGTGTGTGTGTGTGTTCAGGAAGCGCGGTCCATAAGCAGACGTAGTCATCGTCACATTGATAAACAAACCAGAAATGCATGGTTGTATCCCACAGGGCCTCACCCAATGATGATAATGTAGCATATAAGAGTTTCAATAAAGTGCGGTAAACGTCATTCAATTTGAAGGAAGAGATATCATTTTTGCTCTCTATCAGGTGCTGTTCACAGCGCGTAGAAATTTCACCTTGATCAGAATAGAAGCGTGAACCGTGCCTCCCTCCCAGAAAAGTTGGAAAATTTCAGACTATGAAGTCAAGTTGCAATTTTTGGCCCACGATGAGATCCAAATAAAATTGTGACCTGTGTTGTGAATAATATACAAAAATATATATCTCAGAACTGTCTATGACATGAGATGTTGACATCTCAAGTATTGTTCGAAGTATAAAACTTGAAAATGGTCCAAGGAAACTTGTAATCAATGTTTTCCGCATGAAAAATAGTGGCAACAGAAAATGTGATTAAACCATTTCGGCCAAAGTTGAGATCAATTACTCGTATGCAAAATGTGACTAAAACACAACATGAGCTGTGTTGTGAGCACAACAAGCCAACAAATGAAAACGTCTAATGGAGACAAACGCAACAATTGGCCAACGTTGAGCTCTCAAGTACTGTTAGCAACATACAAAATGTTGATAACATACAAAATGTTAACACAATTAAAAATGGGACAATTTTTGCACCAAAAAAATATTTCAAACCGCTAACTGAAATGAATGAATGAACATTTTTTTATGTGCACTGAATAAAATTGTGACGCGTGTTCTCCGCACAAAAACGGAACACAAAGACTCATGTTACAGTTTTGTCCAATGAGATCTGAAGAGCTCTTAAAATTTCAAAAAATACTGCAAACCGCTAACTGAAATGAATGAATGAAACGCTGCGCTCTCAAGCATTGTTAAAGACGCACATTTTTTATGTGAACTGAATAAAATTGTGATGTGTGTTCTCCGCACAAAAACATTGCGAACGGAACACAAAGACTCATGTTACACTTTTGTCCAATGAGATCTGAAGAGCTCTTAAAATTTAAACACGTTCGAATGTAAACAGCGATCTGCGTTCCACACACAGTTATGTACAGAAATGGTCGCCAAGAAAAACTGCAAAATTTCAATATGGGCCAAATCAAAGCGTGTTCTGTGCACAAAACTCTCCCAGCTTTTTGGCCCATGTTGAAAATTTTAATGTGAGATAAAAACAATTATAAAAAAAATATATTTGTACGAGAAATCCAATACAAGAAGCAGTAAAATATGTTCTGTCTTTGAGACGAACATTTGATGGTGTGGGTATTTCACTTCTAGCTATTAAACAATTTCTTGCTTGTTTGGGAAAAAAAAATCTCTCAAGCTCTGGCAAGAGAGGCGCTTTTTGTTTGCCGGTCACGTTATTATTTGTCAAGGTGAAATTCTGAGGAATACTTGAAAGGCTTGGAAGAGTGACTTATTTTGATGCCTGCGTCTGCTCGGAGCGCTTTTTTGTACGTCAACAATGGGGTCGCTGCACAAAAGCGCCTCTGTGCGTGTACACATGTGGCAAATTCCCCTGGTGTACGATCACAAGCTTTTTGCACCGCCGAGGAAGCACAGAAAAAGAAGAAACATGGCAGAGGAGAACAAGCAAAAGGTTAAGCGAAACTTCACGACACGTTGCAAGACGACGTTCACTGTCCGTTCACTCTCAGACCTTGTCCGAAAGCTTCCTGCTCGGTCGGCGCGTCGCCACAAGCGGACGCCTCGCCGCCGTTGGAGATCAAATTGGCGGACGCGTCGACGGCCTCCAAGCCGGCATCCTCCTCATCTTCCTCGTGCTCTTCCTGGACCCCTCCGCCTTCCGCCTCGGAAGCCGCCGCCGCCGAGCCCGGGCTGCCGTCGGCCAGCGTGGCATGAGTCCTCAGGGGGTCCTTGCGCTCGGGATACAGCCTCTGCTCGAAGCTCTTGAAGTCGGCCTCGAAAGGGAGCGCCACCTGTGGCGGGTTGGCGCCCAGGCCCAGGTTGAGGCTCACGGGCACTGGGGCGGCGGCGGCGCCGCCCATAGCCATGCCGGCGCGGTACACCTCCATGCCGTCGGGCAGCATGGACTTAATTTTGGGCAGCCAGCGCTTGCGGACGCGCCGCGCATTGGTGCACATGTCAGCAGCAATCACATTCATTTCGCTCTCCTTGAAGTTAGGGTTGAAGTTTTGACAGTAGACTGCAACACACAAAAAGATCCAATCACATGCTCGTCGCTGCACCACGTGAACATTTCCAAACTGATGATTGGATTTTTTTTTTTTTTGTTATTTTATACAATACAAAAGTCATTATTCTGTTTTAAATTGCATCAGTAAATATTTACATTGAATTCATTAAAGACCGAAAACCTAACCATGTTATTATTTTGTTGATATAAGTAAATATAAGTATGTATGTAAAAGTAAATATTTCTAAATATATGACACATCCATGACCCTTGGGAGGATAAGTGGTTCAGATAACTCGTTTAAATGTGTAGTATACATTTAAACGAGTTGATGACTGTATAATAACCCTAATAATATTTCTTATCTGATAATAATCCGTATGATTAAGACAGTGAATAGAAGTATTACATTTTTATTTCCTTAAAAACGTCAGATGACATTTATGAATGCAACCTTTCATAATATATTTACTAAGCTTTTCACATGAATTCATGCTTCTAATCACTTTCATTCGACTGACTTCAGATGAGGGCACCGTGCATGAGCACAGCCCCTTTGTGTTTGAGAACGTGACACAAATCGAGCCAAGTTCACGTGTGAAATGAATGTGTGAGGGCTACATTTTTGTCGCAAAGACTCACGTTTGACAGCGTTGAGGACCCTGCTGTCCAGGGGTTTCCTGCTCGGGTCACTGGTGGATGAGCGGATCCCAGTCCCGCAGCTGTTCGCTAAAGTGTTTCTGCAATGCACCACAGTCGCCACCACGGGGCAGGGTCCGACACACAGTGACAAGTCAGTCCAAACAGCATTGAACAACATGGACACAGATGGAGTGTCAACGTGCTTTTTTTTTTTCTGTGCCCAAGTGTGACTTTGACATGACAAAAGAAATGATCACAACGCAGTCTTACCGGTCAAAGAATGTCGCTAACAGACGCCGCAGCAAGACTTTGTGTTTGATTCCGGCGCAAAGATGACAATTCATCAGCTGACCTCGAGTCATGAACACCTGTGTGCCTGGGTGATGAGGAAGAAAAATGTCATTTCATCACACATTTTGTTTTTTCTTATGGGTATTGTGTCGAGCGCTTCTGCTGTCTGAGATGTAATACATTGTGTTGGATTTACTGCTAGATGTAATACAAAAGAAATTTCTTTAGAAAATGCATGCAAAATGCAGAGCCTCTCAAAAACACAATCAGTCAGTGACTCCCCCCGCCAAGCACATTTTTGTTAAAAAAGCACTCCGGAGTTTGAGAGTGATTTATTGACATGTTGGGAACTTATGACCCGAGGTAGGTGCCTCCATGTCACAAATACTTTGACAAGGTCGCCTTGCTTTAGCTGTAAAACTCTAAATGAGAAAAATCGGGAGAAAGCTGGCAACAATAAACACCAGCCTAGTTATGAAAAGAATTTCTGAATTTTCGCTGATGAGAAGCAGCAGTAAATAAGGATGCAGACTGCTTACAAGAGCTTCTCACACCAGCCACGCAGCTAGCATACACATATATGCCACAGTGCCTACCAACAACCAGTTCCAGCTTCTCCCCGGGGTCTCCCTCGGTGTAGAGCTTGGGGTGACATCGGTAGCCAATCTGGCTGATGAGGCTGGCGGGCAGAGCCACCAGATCCCGACGGATCAGTACACAGTTGCGGTTCTCCAAGGCCAGTGGCACGGCCGCCATCTCGGGCTTGTCCGGCACTGAGGAAGAGTGACAGGGGAGTTTAAAGTTTGACAATACTGCTGCTTTTCCAAGAAATGCAGCACACGGGATTTACGAAATGTTAAATAACGCAATCAAAACATGTGTCTTTGAGCAGCTAATACTGCGCGCCCCAAGAAAATCTCTGAGCTTTGCGGTGATGTCGATCTCCAGTCTTTCTGCAAGTCATGCTCAATTTTTCATTGAAATTTGGCGAGACATCAAATACATTTCCTGCATCGGGCACGGGCCAAAGTCAACGGGAGAAAAAAAAATACTGCACTTAGCCAAAGCCCACACAGACTGTATACTAATGAATGTGTCTTATTAGCCACTGATGGATGACGCACTAGCCGAGTCTCCGGGACATACAGTGAGACTAACTGGTGCTTAAACAGGGCTTAAAGTGGAGAACAAACTGCTAGAAACTTTTGGGCAGCAAAGAGCAGCAACCAGACTGGTTGCTAAAAGAGACAAATACAATGCTAACATGTCAGTCTCAGGCTTCAAAATTGTTAATAATATTTAAGCGCAAGTTCAATCTTGCTAATGGGAGTCATCCAACAGCTAAATGGTTTTAAACAGAGCTAAAGGTGGTTTTAAAATAGCTAGCAGTGGATTAAAGACCGTTAACAGTGGCTATCAAACAGTTAAGAGACTACTTGCAACGGCCGGGTTGCTAATCGAGGTCATATAATTCTAACACGTTCACAGTCTCAAGATTCAACACAGTGGACAACAGCTAGCAGACAGCTCACACTACCATAAATGTAGCGGCAAGCTGAAAGCTAACAAGTTGTATCATAAGTTGCACGCAATTCGGATCTAAAAGTGGACGTTCCAAAATCTGCTCAAGGTCATCAGAAAATAATCACGACTGGATCTTTTCGGGGGGGTAACAATACTCACTGCCATAGGGGTTGCCTGGACGTGCATAGAGGTGACTGAAGCTGTCCTCCACCATTCCGTCATAGGGCTCTTCCTCAAACTCCTCATCCTCATTCTGGTACGACGTGGGACTGTCGGTGGTGGGTAAACTGGATTCACCGGGACTTGAACGCTCACCCGTTGCTCCGCCCCCTGCCCCACCTCCCCCGGCACCAAGAAGGTGGTAAGGAGGTACACCGGGGATGGTGGTGCCTCCGGCTGTGGTGTAGAAGAGCGAACTGGCCCTTGCCAACCGACTGCCCAGCTCAGAGGAGGAGATTTTGCCTTGCGTGGTTGCGATGCTGAGGGGCGTGGGCTCGCCACCTTCTAGCTTAATCTTACGGGGCGGCATAAGAAGGGACGGGGACCAGCCGGGGTTCGCCAAGAGAGTGGCGACCGCCAGGCCGTTGCCATTGTTGCACGGACTCTGTGGCTCCGAGCCCGTCTCCTCCAAGGTGCCGGCCGTCTGTGAATCGCAGTGCGGTGAGTTGGCCTTGAACATCAGGTCCATGCCGCGCTCCACGATGTGCTGGATCTGCAGGTAGCCCGCCGTGTACATGACCACCAGCTGCTCACTCGCCGCCATGGTCAGCTTACCCGTATAGCAGAAGGAGAGGATCTGCTCAAAGCATGCCGGCGTGACTGAGGAGGGCAACTCGAACTGGGTCTTGGTGGACGTGCTGAAGAGGTCACGAAAGTACAGGCTGCTGGCGGCCAGCACTGCCCGGTGGGCTTTGAAGGCCTGGCCTGCAATTAAGAAACAATATAGAGGATGAGACCATCAGGCCGTCTGACTGAATCCAAATTCAGCCACAACGATATAACCCAAAAGGGGCAGAAAAAAAAAAATCAAGAAATAAGATTACGAGAATTTTGGAATAAACATGTCTTTTGTTTTTAAATAGTGGAAATATCATGATTTTTTAAAAGTTATAAAATTCCAGGATTTTTTTTTTTTTTTTGGTTTAAATAAAGAATGAAATGAGGAGGGGACTCAATACGCGATAATGAAAAAAGTGTGACTGAGGCAATACTGTGCAGATACGCTGTAAAATCGCACAGCTCGATTGCAGTCTCACGGAGAGGTTTAAAAATAAATAAATAAATAAAAGTAACGCACCTTTGACCAGGATGGAGACATCGCAGTAGTGCCCCAACAAACGCTGCTCATTCAAGGAGCCCAGCACCGTGGCTCCAAAATTTGGGATCTCCACATGGAGCAGCTGCGACATATTTGGACCAGGAGACTTCTGCTATGAACCGCAGAACGCGCCAGTGAGGGGAGCAATCTGTAAACAAACAAAATAAAAATAAGGAGCACCGCAGTGAACCGGCGACTCGTCAAGGGTGTATCCACTCCGCCTCTCGCCCAAAGTCAGCCCGACTTGGCTTCAGCTCACCCCGCTGCCCTCAAGAGGGCAATCTCTCAGGAAAATGGATGGATGTCCAAGAAGGACGAGGTACGGACAAAAGCGCTGTGAGACGGAGCGGTCGATGCCAGCGGGTTTGAGAGTGGCGAGGCCACAAGCGACAAAAGGAGGGCTGAAGTCAGTCCACTAAATATAAACACAGCCGAGCCGTGTGTATATGAGGCCAATGTCAAATGCGTGACTGTATATGACACTTGGACTCCGAGACAGCGTGGCCTCATTCCATGGGCTGTCCGTCATGGCCACAACGCACGGCATCGGGAGCGTACATTCAGTGGAAGTATTGGAAGTTGGGAATTGACCGATTCCAGGGTCACACTTTTGCCATGTAGGGGGGGCAAACAAGAAACTATGTTACGGTTCGTACAGCAGAGCAGTAATTGGTGTCAAGGAGGTATGCTCAAGTGATATATCTCAACAGAGAGGGGAACTTCTTTGCATGTCACGAAGGAGCGATGTTTATTTAGCCTGGGTTCTTTCTTAGTCTAAGTTGCAGAGTTCTCGCCGCATGTGCACGCAACCCCCCCAAATCAAACAATCTGGAAGCCATTTATTTGTAAAATGTGTTTGAAATGACATAAAACGGTTTTGAGATTGTAATTGGTGCTATATTGATGGTTCAAACAACATCTGTCAAAGTCAAAAGCCCCGGGGGCCACATGCGGCCTGGGACCGGCAAATAATTTTTCATGTTGCCCGCTTAAAGCAAATCGTGCATCGACTTCATGTTCCTTCCTGAACAAATCGGCCAAAAATAACAAATTGCCTTTACTTTTAGTAATTCTAACATAAATTCACCAAATTCTCCTTCTGAGTTTCAAAACTGGTTAGCCATCGATGCGGCCCGGGACCAGCAAATAATTTTTCATGTAGCCCGCTTCAAGCAAATCGTGCATCGACTTCATGTTCCTTCCTGAACAAATCGGCCAAAAATAACAAATTGCCTTTACTTTTATTAATTGTAACATAAATTCACCAAATAATTCTCCTTCTGAGTTTCAAAACTGGTTAGCCATCAATTTGTTGCGTATGTGTCATGTGAGGCAATTATGTATTTCACACATGAAAACAAGTTTTGCATTTGCTGCTTTAAACTATGAATAAAGGCAACTGATCTCTGGTGTCACACGGGACCAAGATTAAAAATGTGAAAGATGCCGAGGTGTTTTTCCATCAAGCGATCACCACAGTTTGTGCTTGGACACTTACCCGACTTGACCAGATGTCTACTGTAAATTACATCATCGCTATATATCTGACCATGGTACACAGTGGGTAGTTTTACGCAACTTAAGGCAAAAGTTTCCCCAAATGGATCACGTTTCTATTACATTTATTCCATTACGTCTTGTCAGCTACGTTAACGGCTTCGAATTTTACAAGGTGGAGTATGGGGTGTTCGACTTCTGTGTAACCACTTTTATATAAATTTACAGCTCCTTGTCTGGCATGTTGCCCACGCATGTCCTCGCCAGTCTTTCCCCACATGAACTTTGAATTCCCCCCCCCCCCCCAGATGTGAAATCCCCCCCCCCCCCACACACACACACATAGTCACAGACATATACAGTATACACAAAGGTGTGTGTGTACACACACACACACACACACAAACACACACACAAACATATCTACACATTCATACCAGTTTCATTATTGAGCAATGCTGCAGAGCAGTTTCCAGGAATACAAAGTGAAAAAAAAAATGTCACCGCCTCTCTCACGTACTCCCTCTCTTTCCCACTTCATGCACACATACTCGCATGCACTCTGCCTTACTTACATAAAAGTATGCACGCCTAAACGCGCACACACACGCAGTCTCTCACAGTGCAGGCTGCATAGGGAAATGAGTGTGTATTCTGGCACGTAAGTGCCAACTCACCTGGGGAAAGCAGCACATAACAGTGTCATGCACTAATGCGGAGAAATGTGCTCAAGACGGCCTTCGCGGGCGACGTGCAAAGAACGCGGCGGCTTGGCGGACTGCTTGGCGGACTGCTTGGCGGCGGCGAGGTCCCAAAAGCGGAGTTTGACGTGCACTCTTAGAGTGTCACCCCGACTACATCCCATTCAAAAAAAGACAGGGTTCCCGTTTGCTCTGCGGCATGACTGACTTTTCCGTCTCCTATCCGTCTTCTATGTCGGTATTCCATTCTGTGCTGTAAAGACTTTCCCTGCCTGCCTGTCAAGATCTTTCTGCTGTTCTCCCATCTCTCCCGTCTTCCTCCCCAGGCTGAGATTCAACAAGTGCCAGTGCAGAAAGAGAGACAGTGAGAATGTGTGATATACAGAGGGAGAGAGAGGGGAGAGAGAGAAGGAGAGAGAGAGAAGGAGAGAGAGAGAGAGAGAGAGAGAGCAGTGTGGATCAATGATGAAAGGAGTGGGAGGCTCACTTGTGTTTGCGTGTGTGTGTGTGTGTGTGTGTGTGTGTGTGTGTGTGCGCGCACGCGCCGGATCAATGCAGTATCTATACGTCGCAGGGAGTGGGAGGGAGAGGAAAAAAACAGGCTACAGTTACAGACGGAGTCAGAAAGTGGGCAGAGCTGAAGAGAGAGTCAAGATGGAGGGGGGTGGGGAGGGAGAGGGTGCAGAGGGAAGGTGGGGAGTCGCTGAGACAGACGGAGAAAGTCATTCGAGGACAGTACGAGCAGAGAAAGACAATTAGGTTGAGGCATGTAGCGCCGCTCGCCCTCTGGAAGAAGCGGCGTCGATCCGCATGGGATCGTTTACATGGCTGCTCATGCAAGGGGGGCTATAAGTTACCGTGGCGTAGCTCCAGCCACAGTCCTTTCCTGTCAACAGTGAGAAAACCGAGCGCTCTTATCGTCATGGCAATCACGGTAGAGCGGTTCCATGACTTCAGAGTTTTATTCGGTCCAGGACCATGCTCGTAACTCAAAACACTCGTATCACCAATCGAGCAATCAATCAATTCAACAGAATTCAAGAATGAAACCGTTTGTGCTGCATGATAATGGGCATTGTGCTGCTCTTTCTTGCATTCACACCTTGGCCACCAGAGAGCCGATTGATATACCGTATCGGCATTTTTCGTGTAGAACACAGAAGACGGAGCTCGACCAACGTGACGTTTTAGAGCAAGATTCATGATACAAGATTCAGTCGATGCTAATATGAGTGTTCTCGTTTGAAGTTTTTTTTTAGCGCTGCAACTCCGTAAAGCGATTGTTGATACAGTCCTGATTGTTTCCTGTCACCAACATGAAATGTTTTGTGTCCGATCGTGCTACTTGCTACTGTAGACACAATTGTGATATTTTTGTTGTTGTTGTTGGCAACAAGAAATGTTGTAGGGTTGTAACATGGTATCTGCTACCACAGTATGCAGTAGCTATGACAGATTAATTTACTGTCAAGACTATTATCATAATTTGGTAGTCTAAGATTAAGTTGATACTGTTTTGCTGTCAAAAACAAAAGCAGTTTTAGCAAAGTATCATGCTATAAGCGGCTATGCCACAGGTATCGCGGCATGAGCCAGTGAGTCCCGAACCACTGTGCCTCGTTCTTTATTCAGTTACAGTGACCACCGATTTGGGGGAAATACAGAGGAAATACACTACACGTTAATGCTGACAACAGTAGTGACATACTCAGCGTGGTTTACCACAGACGGGGGTAGGATGACTAAAATAAAAAGAGAAATGACTTTATATGAGGCAAGACTCTGGACATCCAGTGATGTAACTCCCGAAATCCCGGCTTGACACATACACGCCTGGGAAAAAAAAAAAAAAAGCGAGCGACACCTCTTCTTACTTGGTGTACAACACCGATAATTGTGTTTTCATTTTCATTGCTAACTTAGCCAAAGTTGTTTGGGGTGTCTTTGGCGGACATTTTTTTTTTTGGCTTGAGTAAGTGTTTTGTGTTTTACAGTGAATCATGGAGACCTTTCCAGTGAACACCTACACGCACATGCAGAGAAAACTCTTGTCAACAAGCCACACGGAGCTTGGATTTATGCCCAAATTTTGACATGATTATGGCTATGCCTCGTTGGATGATGCACGAGTCGTCGGATTTGCCGAAAGGTTGGTCGCAAAGGGCAAGAGAAGAATATTACAAACAGCTCTCAGTAGCCCCTTTTAAACTGCACTTTTAATGCCTTATTTTTCCTCAGTCGACGCTGTGACCAGTTTCACAGTAAGTTCATTCAGTTGTTTAAATTTGTAGAAAAAAAAGTAGATCACAGACGTGACACAAAACTCAAGTCAGTTCAAATGACTTTAAGAAACACTAAATGATATCGACCATGTCAATTTCAAATGTCCAAAACTAACACCGGCATCAGATTAGAGCTGCTCCTTAGTCTGCAGTTTAGCATTAAAAAAAAAAAAAAAAAAAGAACCATTTTTTAAACAAAGTTACAAGTATAACATTCCAATTTTTTGGGGGGAAGGAAAAAGAGTTAATTTATGAGACTACACGCAGAGTAAAAAAAAAAGAAATAACAGTATTCAGTCAAAAAAAAAGTTGACTGCTGATATGAAGTCTCTGAAGTTGCGCTCCTCCTCCCTGCATCAATTAAGAGCCCCCTATTTTCTTTTCTTTTTTTTTTTTTTTTATGACACGTGCCAGATAAGAATGTTAAAATGTGCTAAAGGGTTAATGATAGCCATAGTTTGACCCTGCAACAAATTAACTTCCAAAGACTTAAATCCCTAAGACTCAGTGTTCTATTGGTTTTACGTTTTGATTTTAACACTGGCCAACTTTTTTTTTTTTTTTTTTTGTAAACACATGCCCCAAATAAGAACGTTAAAACAACCACTAAAGAGTTGATGATGGGACAGTTTGACCTTGAACGGATGTATGGCTTGTTTTTATAAATG